AATTATTTTAAAAAAAGGCCATAACTGCTCAGTGCTTTTGATTTACATGCTTTCATGCGAGCAAAATAAAAATATGACAGGCAGGTATTACGAGCCTGGTCTAATAAAAGAAAAGTTTATGGCAAAATTTAAAGCCACAGCTGTTTTATATTAGATGTAGAGTCGGGCGAGCGACAAAATAGTCGCTAAATATATACGCATAGGATACATTAGGGAAACACTCAAGAAGCACTTTTATATTTTTATTCATGATAGACTTGTTATTTCACTGTAATGTACCGCTCGGGTGCCAATACAAATGTACAGAATATAAATCAATCGAATTTTTACGAGCACTGGAAGCTCGACACTGGCTATTTTCAGCATCGGTTATGAACTCAACAGTTCGTAAAACAACTTGAATTCAGGACGCGTAATAAAGTTAATAGCTTGATTTCACAAGAATTCCCATCAATCAGCACCTGGATAAACATGGAATCTTTTTTTTGTTACTTTAAATTTTCGTAATGAGCACTCTGAAATGACTAACCTTTTCCAATAAGTACTTCATACTTGCTTCCAAAAATATGAAGTTAATTTTGAATTAATAATCATAATATACCATTCTCCGTAATACCTACATACTCGTATGTCTTGCCTGCTTGTACTTACATTTCTTTCAAATAAAAAGTTATCTGTTCTATTCTATTCTCATGCACAAGTTAACGGTGATCAACAACGAATTCCGTGGTGGATCACAAAAACTCTACCATTTAGAAATAAATCAACAATAAACTATTGTAATTTTCAGATAGCAATATTTTGTACATCATAATGATTGAATCGGTTTCAAATGAAAGTAAATAATTTGCAAAATTATTATTATGAATATAGTATTTCTTGTAGTTGCACCTACCAACGGTACGTGATTCAATGTCACTTTCCTCGACAAAACAAATGCTACGTGGGTGGGCATAGCAAGAGAAATTTGAAGGTCTAACTCTATTCTCTAGCCAAATATTTTTCTAATTAAGATCATGGCATCGCTACGAAGATCCGTTATTGCCGAAAGGTTAATTTATTTTATTTGTTTTCCAACAGCCAGTGAAACTTTACTGACGATTTAGCTTACTAAAAGCTATCTGGCTAAAAAATGAGCAAGTTACTTAAATCCCTAACGTACACAACGCCCACGGTCTGTCTCGTTTGTTTACAGTATTGTGCACGGCTGCGGAATAATATGTTTCAATGTGAATAACGCGCCCGCCGAAACTGCGGCCCAGTTGGTCTGTGTTTTATTGTGTGTAAGCGAGATATCGTACAGTTGGTTGCCGAGTAATCGAGTATAAATAGCGAATAGACAACAAAGAATCAACAATCTCGGATGCCGCTGTCGAATTTCGAGATTAATCTTTCCCTGAGTGTTGTAAACATTGCGGCGAGCGATCTAGAATAGATTTTACATGCATGCCTATTGTTGTTATAGCTCTGCCCGTACTCAAATCTTAATTTACCGACGAAATTTCTAGTTACATTCGCGCATTTAAATATTTGAGTTGCTAGTTAGTACCTACCTACTTAGTTGATTAGTCTATAAAGTAGCTGTGTACATTTCGTAGTAAAACTTATTCAGTACCTTCCTAATAATACTTAAAAGTACTTACTCCTTCCTTTACTAAAGAAATCAGCTTATTCAAGGTACCTAGGCCCTTTGGTTAACTGCATAGCTGGGCACCGTTAATCAAATAGTTAACTTCGTTAATCGTTAAACCGTTAATAAAAAAATTAACTTCGTTAAACGTTAAAACGTTACATTTCGCAAGAGTTAACGCAAGTTAACGTTAATCGTTAATCCGTTAACACATGATAAATATAATAAAACGAAAAAAATTATATGTTCAAATAATTTCGAAAGCTTGTATCGCGCATGGAATTTATTCCTCTTTTATGTTTGCGCTACAAGCTTTCGAAATTATTTGAACCTTGCATAAGTACAATTATTTTTTTCGTTTTAGTACAACTGCATTTCAGTATAAAAGCTTGTTAGGGTTTCGTAGCCAAATGGCAAAAAACGGAACCCTTATAGATTCGTCATGTCTGTCTGTCCGTCTGTCCGTCCGTATGTCACAGCCATTTTTTTCCGAAACTATAAGAGCTATACTGTTGAAACTCGTTAGGTAGATGTATTCTGTGAACCGCAGAATATTTTGATGCAAAAATAAAAAAATAATAATAAATATTGGGGGCTCCCCATACTTAGAATTGAAACTCAAAAAGGATAGTGCCAGGGTCTGGACCAAGTGCTGCCCAGAATCAACCCATAGTGCATTTTGTTCCTCAGGCCAATACTAATGTGTAAACCGAAGCGCACTGAAATCTATCCCTGGAGTTAAGAGAAAAAAAGAGTTTTGTTTTGAATTATTTACATACAAAATATCATCGATATATACGTACTACGCATAAGATTTCGTGATTTTGGCATTAAATAACACTCGCTATGTTAAACTTAACGATACTGCATCCGTACACCTTACTTTAGTGCGACTTAGACATTCTTTAGAAGCGATCTAACGCTGTTGCAATAGTTTGGTTAGTTGACAAAAGTCATTATTTCCAAAATGAAGCAAGAAGTTATAGTTCTCTATCCTTGCGAAAAATCAATTTATTGGTGTATTACAATCGATTATTGAAGTTATTGTAAGCTAAAACTTCTTGCTCCATTTTGGAAATAATTAATTTCGGTCAACTAACTAAACTACTGAAACAGCGCTTGATCGCTTATAAATAATGTCGAAGTCGTACTAAAGTAAGGTGTACGGATGCAGTATGGTTAAGTTCAACATAACGAGTGTTATTTAATGCCAAAATCGCGAAATCTTATATGCGTAGTAGGTATACATCGATGATATTTTGTACGTAAATAATTCAAAACAAAACTCTTTTTTTCTCTTAACTCCAGGGATAGATTTCAGTGGGCTCCGGTTTACACATTAGTATTGGCCTGAGGAACAAAATGCACTATAGTTTCATTCTGGGCAGCACTTGGTCCAACTTCCATACATGGATTGGCACTGTCCTTTTTTTTCGAAACGCTTGGACTAAGGCATGCCCGGAAGCCGATCCACCTACCTCTCTATCGTCTCAGAGGCAGTGGGACGAGCCGCTCTGTTTGCGTTTTCAGAGTGATCTATTGGCTTCCTCCGAAAATGCTGCAGAGCGTGCTCGCCTACTAGCGGTCTTTCAGGCAGAGTCCGGTTATTGGCTACATGCTCTTCTTTCGGCCAATATCGGGACTCTGCTTGACAGGAGTACACTGTCCCTTGCCATTTCCTTTAGACTTGGCGTCAAGACAAACCATCCCCATCGCTGTCGTTGCGGTACTCGCGTCGGTGAGTTAGGACACCATGGCCTCTCATGTCAAATGAGCGCTGGTCGAGTCTCCCGACACGCCTGCATCAATGACGTCATCCGCAGAGCTCTTGTCGCCGTCAATGTGCCAGCAGTTTTAGAGCCTAACGGCATACTCCGTGACGACGGCAAGAAACCTGACGGCATGACGCTCATTCCCTGGAAGCAGGGACGTCCTCTTGTGTGGGACGCAACATGCGCGGATACGCTTGCTCCGTCTCATACAGGAGGTACCTCCCTTGCCGTAGGCGCGGCGGCGGCCTCGGCTGAGTGCTCCAAGCGGCGCAAATATATGCAGCTCTCAATAAGAGTTATATATTTGTGCCGTTTGGGGNGAATAAGTTAAAAAGAAAGCAAATTAAATACCCAAAATTACCTGACGCCTTCTTATCAAACGTAGGTAACCTTTGAAAACTTTGTAACGTTATTAATTTAGCAGTTCAAATAAAAAAGCGCGCGATGTAGAGTTACGAGATGTTCGCAGCACAGTGTAAATCAGGCAAAACGGTCTATCTCTAAGACCTAAGTAATTAGGTAATTACTTATAATACGAGTAGGTATTTTGAATTTTCCCAGTCACCTGGGTAAAATCTACTTAAATCAGAATCTATTCAATATGGTACACTTATTTGCTCAGAGGAATTGATTTCCTTTGCATAATCTGGATTTTACCTAATATAAAAGGAGCACTTGAAATGAAAGTACCTACATAACTAAGTATTGTTGTTTTAGGTTTAGCAATAAAAAATTTGAATTTGAATTTGAAGCAATCAAAAAAAAAATTTGCCTTTGCAGGGGTGGCCAACTTGATTAGACATATTAAGATCTACTGTTTACTAATGAAACCCTGGGTGATCTAATACTTACATTGTATACTTCTTGAAATCTTAAATGGAACAGTATACAGCATAGTTTACTACACAATCATGTAGTATTTTTTGCCTTGCCATGATCGACTGGACTAATAGTCGCGATCGAGCGGTTGGCCACCCCTGATCTATGGGTTCGGCCAATCCAACGCGTGCAGCCAGCCTTGGTGTGCGATGGCGATCCTACTGATTTCTACAGATCGCCATTTCCATCGCGCATGTAGGCTGCTGCATGCGTTGGTTTGGCCCTCAGATCATAGTCTATGATCTTCTGAGGTTTGGCTGAACCCTTAGTTAGGTAGTCAATCTATCTTTCAATCAAATCTTTCGCCTACTGAGTTTAGCATTGTTTGGTTGCTTAGAATAAAGAAAGGCGCTCATAATTTTATGAGTTTTATGCCCGTTTTCACCATCAATTCCTAATTTTTAAGTGACCCCTTTGGTAATAAATAACAGGAATTTTGTTTTGATAGGGGTCATTTAAAAATAAATTAGGGATTGATGGTGAAAACGGGCATTATAATATTATTAAAATGTGAGTTGTGAGACTTATGAGTAAATTATTGTTTTTATTACATTGAAAATAATAAAAATGAAAACAAAACAAAGGAAATTAAAATAGTGAAGAGAAGGTATGGACTAGATCTCTTTGCCGGCCCAGAGTGGGGGTTAATTAAAAAAAAAGATGACAGTGACAGCTTATGTCACTTTGACATTTGACGAAAAAAAAAAAAACAAATCTTGTTGCACGGCTTTGTTTGTTGTTGTGTTTTTATTTCTATTCGCCGTGTTTTTGAGATAATTAAATTAATAATGTAATATTTGTATCTAAGTAGTGTATTTGAAAGCGCCAATATCTCAGTTTACTGAATATATTTCCTGTAAAATGGAGAGCTACGATGTTATATCTTTCGTTGGTGAAGGATCGTTCGGTCGAGTTTTTAAAGCAAAACATAAAGAAACTGATGATGTTGTGGCATTAAAAGTTATAAGAAAGGTTCGTAGAGATCACGAATGATGGTCTAACTATTATCATGGCTTTAGTCTGACATAGTATTGCAATTTTACAGAAAGGCCGCTCTTCCAAGGATTTGAAGAATTTGAGGCAAGAATGTGACATTCAGAGGCAGCTTAAACATCCCAATATAATTCGTATGATAGACAGCTTTGACACCGAGTCGGAGTTGGTAGTGGTTACTGAGTATGCTGAAAAGGAGCTACATAGCATCTTAGCTAAAGAAGGTTGTCTAAATGAAGAGCAAGTGAAGAAAATCACATGGGACTTGGTGTCTGCATTGTATTATTTGCACTCTCATAGAGTTTTGCACAGGTATGTGTACATAATGTGTAAACTAATCACATGCAGTAGGGGTTTGAGGCATTTTGAAGCATCGTATTGAAGGTCATGCCCATATTCGGTCCTAGCAGATAGCATAATAGACATTACAATTAATCTACAATATAAGTGTATCGATAAGTTATAATAATAACTTTTGGTACCTATTGTTACCTTGAATTTGATGATTTACCTATGATAATCCTCCATTTGGTACAGTTATCTGTTACTTTTTGCTGGAATACAAATTTTAGCTGTCTGCAATATTCATGTTGTTTTTGTTTTGATTTCAGGGACCTAAAACCTCAAAATGTGCTATTAGATAGTACAGGTCGGGCGAAGCTGTGTGACTTTGGATTAGCAAGACTAATGACCAACACTACACATATTTTAACATCCATCAAAGGTACTCCTCTATACATGGCACCTGAATTAATTGAAGAGAAGCCTTATGACCACCAGGTAAAGCAAGCATGAAACAGTGAAGACATCGCAACATAATAATATTTTTGTTAAATATTTTTTCAGTAAGATAGGCCTAATGAAATATTGATTTAAATGGATGCGGCCAGATTCTACACATGAAACAACTTGTAGCCATCCTAATTACTATTTTAATTACAATTATTTTCTTATTTCAGGCAGACCTATGGTCTCTAGGATGTATAGTATACGAACTGATGGCAGGCCAACCCCCATTCTGTACTATGTCCATACTGCAGCTAGTGCATATGATAAAACATAAACCGGTACAATGGCCAAGTTTTATCAGCATGAAAGCTCGGTCCTTTTTACAGGTAATTTAAGTTTTAATACATTCTTACGAATTTACATTAAAGAAATAGCTAGCAGTGCAGTGGAATTTGCTAATTTCACTTATAACTTTCTGACAGCATTACATCATTTCCCATCTTTAAAATTCAGAATCCATTCTTTGGATTGAATGTACTTTCTCCTTAATTTAAAGAATGAATATTTCATAAAGATCTGGTTTTTTGGCAGGGCTTACTTCATAAAGATCCTATGAAGAGAATGAGTTGGCCAGAAATTTTAGAGCACCAGTTTGTAGCTGGCCATGTGCTTATTCTACCAGAAGATGTCCAGAGTGAATCTCCATTCACCAAACCCCTAACTCATAGTCAGCAGGAAGCTAAACAACTCCAAAGGGATAAAATAAATACTAATGCAAGGTAACATCTCTTTTAAATTTTTATATTGCGAAAATACAATCAAATTAACTATAATGTGATGTCTAGATTATGGTCAATATGTGGGTGATGCCTTTTGATTCTTGCCATGGAAATTGTATAATTATTTGTTGCCAGTTGTAAAAATATTTTGTAAATTATATTGACTTCAGGTTAATGAAGATGGAAGGAGAATCAATTAAAACTGAAAGAAGGGAACATGATCTTCGTAACATCCGCGTAATGCAGGCAATGGAGTGTGTGCCGATGTCAGACGACGATAGTGTCAGAGCAACCAGTGCGTTCAGTGTCCGAGACAGTCTCAAAACTGATGACGAAGACCAATCGCAACCCATCACTGCTGCCAACGCAAAGTTGCTAAGACACGAATACAATGTAATGAACAACTCGAATCTCGTAGTTTGCAACTTAGAAAAAAACATGGCTCAATTAATGCGTGCCAACAAAAAACAAAATGATGCAAATTTGAATAAAATGGATAAAATTGTTGAAGAAAAACAGAATGTAGAGAAAATTTCTGATGAATCAAAGACTGAAAGTGCCAACGACAAACCAGTAGCTGATGTAAAACAAAAGGTGAATGCGGTTGACACTGCTTCCCATAGCTTGGAGAACCCCAAAAGTTCAACGAAATGCAGTAGCGATATTAGTTCGGGCTTGAGTAAAAGTGTCCCACCGTCTTATAAACAGAAGCTGTTGCAATTTTCAAGAGATAAATTGCGGTTTGGTAGTGGGGGAAACAGACTGACCAGAAGTATTAAACGATCATTCCATTTTAGCAGAAGTTGGGATAAAAACAAGCATGATACTCAAAGACACACATCCGAGCCTAATGTGGAGATTCCGAGTTTGATTGATACAGATAAAGAAAAATGTTCTAAAGAGGAAAAGGATGAGGACAGCGAAAAATGTGATGTCATTGAAGAGACATCAGATGATAAAGAGATTGCTAATAATGATCGAATGATTAAGCCTGAAGAAAAACATGAAGGTAAATATCTTATTTAACACATTTTACTTTTCTCATTGTAATTATAGTGTGGATTTAATGTAATGATACCTAATATTTTACTTTTAGCTAAAGAGCCATCTTCAATAGAATTGGAAGAGTGGGAAGCATTCTTAAACTCTAATATTACTGAGGTTATGGATGGCGATGTGGAGTCTCTCACGCAACTTAATATGGTATGATTTCATAGTAAATATTTGTTAATCAGTAAGGGCCAGTTTTTTGGTCCGTAGTAAAAACAACTACTCAGCGAAACTGATACCACTTCCAATGTGGATAGAGTTAGCGATGTCTCGTATCATCAGTCCGATGTCGTAACTATCAGCATATCACTCTTTGTTGCCACCATATAAGATGCCACAGCATTCAGCTTGATATTCCGTCGTCCGTACCTTGGTTTGTGTGGACGTCTAGATGTTTGTTACTCTTTCACGCAAAAACTACTGAACGGATTTTGATGAAACTTTACAGTATTATTGTTTATAACCCAGAATAAGATATAGGCTATTATTTATGACGATCTGTGATAAACTAAATTTCACGCAGGTGAAACCGCGAGCAAAAGCTAGTTTTTCATATTATGGTGCAGTCATGATCCTTAATAATGCACTTCGTAATTTATTCCGCTCGCTCTGCAAATAAGGTTTAAATTCGAATGAAAATGTACTACTATTATATTCTAGGTGAGCATGGTGATAGGCGTGGTAGGCAGCGCCGCTAAAGGGACGAAGGGGGCTCGCGTGTGCGGCGCCGTGGCCGCGCTATTGGCGCTACCCGCGCTAGTTCATACTCTGCCTAGGCATACGCTTTTGAACATTCAGGATGTAAGTATTACCACAGAATAATAATAAGTACTACGTACAGAAGTTTTACTTTTCGAAGGTATTTAAAAAAATGTAAGCTCAATGTCATTAACAATATGGTGTAATTTAGCCTGTCTCAAGAGTAAAGCACCATTTTGTTGACAAACGTGAGTGATCGGCACTGCGCCGAAGCTATAGGGCTGACTTCGGTATAATGATGTGACGTGAGGTGCCAAACTGCGGAAAATGGCGGAGGAAATACATACATGATTTAGCATGAATTATCATGAATAATATTAACTACTTATTTACCTCTCAGTGTTTTGAGGCAACTTAAAAAAGTACATTCTGTGTTTTTTTTAGGCAGTTAAATACTGCACAGTATTTAGTACACCATTTTCTTTACTTTCTTCCATCATACACAAGAATACGCGTGCGTGAGACAATGTTCGCTCGTATGTGAGGCCTTGTCGAATAGTATCCTGTAGGTGGGCCATCGTGCGTGTTTTGTTTTCGATGTAAACTCGCGGTGATGAACAGGCCTGGTATTACGTCTAGGAATTTAAAGCCTGCAATAAACGTTGGCCGAGCGTCGCCGAGTGAATGCCAATACCAAGGTGTAGATAGTAAAAGACAATGCCGGAAATTGGCGTCTTTTTTTTTTCGCGCGGCCATCGACCTAACCATGGTTTTTGGTTACAAAATAGTGTAATAAACCAAACATACTATGACATGTATGTATACCTTTAAACTCAGTCTGAACTAAGTTACGAGCATTAGACGTCTTTTTTTATTGCGCTGATTCTGCTCCATACTGATGAGTGGAGCCTATAATTGATGTTATTGTTTGTTTACACATACAATGTCACTATTTTGTTGCAATTTCTTACAAAGCTTGCACGCAGAAAGCAAATCTAGTATGTAAAATCATCAAACTTCTAATGCTCGTAACTCAGTCCAGACTGAGTTTAGAGGTATACATGTCATAGTAAGTTTGGTTTATTACACTATTTTGTAATAAAAAAATAAGGTATGGTCGATAGCCGCGCGAAAAAAAAAAGACGCCACCTTCCATACAAAATCTGGCATTGCCATTTGCATTGTCTTGCCGTCGCTCATTGTCGCTCGCCTAGTTGGCCGAGGTAAGTCAACCGCCAACGTGTACAGAACTCATTTGGCGTAGCTTGTTACAACTTGCGATCACTCGCGACCACTTGCCGCACTTCGGAACGTTGCCGGGTTTTCAGCACAAAGTAAAAGCGATCGCGCGCACTCGTCCAATAGTGTTCACATGTTTGACCGCGTATTTTGCATTGGTTTTTTCGACAAACTTGCCAAACGTCGAGGCAATATGACTTGCCTTGTATTAATTTGACTACGCTCGCGTTGTCCTAAGCTCGGCCAACGTGTATTGCAGGCTTAAAATATTACTCTCTCTTAGGCTGGTTTTAGAATCACGCTGACGCACGCTGACCGTCAGCGTTGACAGCGTGAAGACATGAAGCGTCGGCGCCAAGCGATCAGCGTCACTCAGGAACGTACCCTTCAATTACATACATTTTGATTTGTCAGCGCCGACGATCAGCGTGCGGTCAGCGCGATTCTAAAACCAGCCTTATATTTATGTACAACCTGGTCGAGTTAACTGCGCACCTGGCTGCCGTGACGTCACATCGACGTTCTGGTACGGACGGGGCGAACGCGGGGAGGTTAGCGGGTAAGTAAGTACGAGGGAGTCGTATTCCATCCAGCGAGGTGCAGTTAGTTGATCGGGTTGTAGTATAAATACTATTGGTTAAAAACAATCCTATTGTTTTTTACAGGTGTATCTAGAAGCGAAAGTGGTGTATAATTTTGTGGCAGCAATTAACACTTTGATGAGGAATAACAAAGATTCTGACGACGGTTCTGAAGAAAAGTAAGTGTTATTTGATGTATGTGAATTGATTCCTGGTGTCAACTCCCCTATTCGTTCAACATCATCTTTCATATTTTGACTTTGGTGGGAGGGACTTACGAGACTCGAACGAGCGCGCTACGAGCGTTTGACTCGTGCTCGATTATGCTCCGCCTATAATCGGTTTTTGACAAATATGTAAGGATTTGCATCGCGCTCTACTATGTTAGAGGAGAGTGATTGTTGTAGGTACGTCCACACTTTCTTTTTATCCACAACGAGGAAGCTTTTGGCCTGTATCTCACCTGATGGTAAGTGACGATCAGGCCGAAGGTGGAAGCGAGCTTTATCCGGAATCCTCAACCACGGAGGAACTGGCTATCTTACCTCTAACTGCCGGAACACAATAATGCTGTTAATATTGTTGTTATGGCGACAGACTTAGGTAAGATGGTGGTAGCCAGCCAGGCGGACTTAGCACAAGCCCTACCACCAACCAAACCGAACAGAAAAATCTGCCCCACTGGGAATCGAACCCGGGACCTTCACTTGTCACCGCGAGTGAGCGGGTCGGGTTGCGCTCAGCTCGTGTTCGGCTCTCATGTGTGTAGCATACCTCTATTTTTTCTTTTAATAAATTATTTTATGTTTCAAATCTACATTATTCCGTCTGTTCGCAGGCTGCAAGGCGTCGGGCGCATGCTAGAAGTGTGTTCGTGGCTGTGCGTGCGTTCGTGCCGCGGCGTGCGCCAGTTCGCGCTCGCGCTCGCCACCTACAACGCGCATCCCGTGATCACCGCGCTGCTGATGCAGTGTGAGTTAGTCTGCAAGCTGTTATGAGCCCTAATGCTAGCCCTAATGGCACATTTTTGACTGACAACTCGGTCATCCGACGATCAAAGGATAACCTTTGGTCTTTTTTTTTTTTTTTTTTTTTTTTTTTTTTTTTTTTTTTTTTGTTTTTGTCTTAAAATAACTATAAAATTAAACGCACGCATCGCGCATCCCGTGCTCAACGCGCTACTGATGCAATGTGACTTACAAAACTTAACCCCGATAGACAGATGGAATTTGGATATTCCCTCTCGTTCCCACCGCTGTAAGTTCTGTGTCAGGATCTACAGTTTGACCGCCAATAAAAACCCGACCTGTGAAGGTCAGGCTTGTCCCTTTGAATTTGAACATAAATATAGTTGTATGGATATAAAAGTAAAATGGTTATAGCGCTCACCAGGGTGCGCCACTATACAGTAATATCCTGTCACTTGTTAGTGGCCCAGATAGTGGCGCCATCTGATGTTTGTTGAAGTTTTAGAAAGACCATCGCATTGCCAAGTTAAGTCCTCTTCCTTGCCAGTGACGTCAATTAGTCATAAATTTCCTATTTCCATACGCACAGTCGCACATATTCCACTTCTTGTCTTTTACGGAATTTCCAAACTAATGAAACGAAAAATGCAATAAATTCCTAAATCAAGTAACTTTGTATACTTCATATACTAAGCTAAAACAAAACCTTGTTTACAGATTCCAAGATCCCCCGGATCGTGTTAAACATCATCGGCATCCTCATAACCGTACTCCAGGACTTACCAGAACATGCTGACGTCGTCGAGAAAGTTCTATTCGACAGCGAGAACTTCAACTTCTTAACCCTTCTAGAAGAATCTAGCGACGCCCTCCGAATGCGAGTCTGCATACTCATAAGTCTTCTGTGTACATTTTCCTGTACCGCTTTCTCTGTAGCCATGGAATCTAAGTGGAGTAAGAAAGAAAGTGACAATCTGGAGGCTTTGCATAGCCATTGCAATGTCACACTGAACAGGGCAGCTAGGCTGGCCACTAAAGAGCTAAGTAACATGCCCTTTTATGTGTGCTAAGTATTAAAATGGATCTTCTAATGTAGAGAGTAAGACTTACTTTTATTTTTGATGACTTGCTGATATGATTTTACATTGTATTTATTTAGACAATGTATGTCAATAGTATCACGTAATGTATGTTTTTTTACACGAGCAAGCGATATAATGAAGTATTTCATTATAATAATTTTATGAATCGTAAGACTTATTTTATATTATTCATTTATGAATATTTAGCATAGACTGATCAATAAAAATGGTTTATTTGGTGCTGTCTCATATTGTGATGATTCTCTTTTTGGATAAAATTTATATGAACTTCGAAAATTATTTTAAATGTCGACTAATTTGAAGAAATTAAAAGAAACTATTTAACCTACTCAAGCATTTTTTTTGTAAATATTTAAAACTGATAATCTGAAACATGTCAAAATGTTTTGTTAATAAAAATCTATACATTCCTGTATGCCATGAGTGAGTAACCTACTTTAAACGCTACCCTTATGTGTCCTGAGGATAGATTTTTTGAGAAAATGTTATTTTAAAGGTTAAGAGTAGGCGCACACCGTTGATTTTTCGTCGGCCGATAGTTTAGTCGGGCAGTTGATCAGTATGGGCATGTATGGGAGTGCGCACACTACGCCTATTCGATTTGGCCGATTCTTCATACAAATTAAAATCGGCCAGCTAAAAATCAACGGTGTGCGCCTACACTAAGGCGACACTCGAATCAACCATCACGGAAACGTTGAGCTATTGTTTGTTTTATTTAATTTAATGACTGGAACTGTTGAATCTGTAATAAAACACTTCAAACAAAATGATAAAGTATATCGACATTTATAACAATGTATTGTTTCATAAACTTTAATAAGTAATTGATATTAGAATAGGGCACTTGATAGGTTTACTGCCCCTTGAGTGGAACGATTATGCAAATGAAGTGTTTGCTTCTGATGGAGCACGTTTGAATGTTGACAGCGGGCGGGCCAACGAACGCCTTAAGGTCAAGCCTTAGAGCGTTTTGCCTATGAAAATGCGTGAGTGCATGGTGGACTATGTGGACAGAATGTATGAGAGCTGGTCCAGATGACGTTTTTCCTCGTGCGAGCGGCAAAACGCGTGACTGCATCTGGACAGAACGTATGAACCTCTAATCTAGTACTAACTTCACGATCACGATCACATCTGGACTTGCTTTTAGTCTAGGCACACGGGTTCCTATGATCTACCATACCCGATATAATACCATGACACCAACATTGGTAATGAACATTTTGGTTTGGTGGCTTGTCTTCACTGGTACTTAATAGGTTGTTTTTTATTCTTTTATTTTAACTCCAAACTTTGCATAGGTTTTAAGTGCGTAGATTGGTATTAAAAGAGGTTCCTAAAGTAATTTTTATATTCGAGAAAAATAAGAGAAATCGTTCTTTTGAAAACAATAACTATTTTGCCTTACCAACATACCTTTGCGCCTGAGACTTTTAATGCTTCGCAGGAAAACATCATTGCTCATCTCATAATGTTAGGAACTGTGAATTTTGTAAAACTCCCACAAATCATGCATGTTGTCTTCCTAGTAAAAAAAAAACTGTTGTTAGTATTTGTATTACATTTTAAGTAATTTAGTTAATATTTTATGACATGTTTAATCACAATAATCTTAATCTTAAGTTTTGTAATAAGCCTGCGAGTTATTTTGTTGCACTTCATATCTTACTTATCTATTTTAATACAATTTGCTTGCATCATCTCGCGAATGGATTATTAACTATTAGTTTTTATTCGAGGAATAACCAATGATTAAATTACATAATTTCAAACATCGATCAAGATAATTAAAGGAAAATATTTGGATGTGATGTTACGGCAATCGATTGATTGTAATAACGATAAATAATTTTAATCGAATTTTATAATTTATTTGTACACTTATGTAAGTTTGTCACATTTTATAAGAATAATATTATGTTACCTATAGTTTAATATAGGTACCTATAATAAAAATTGTGAATATGGAGATTTTACTTTTTTTAAACTTCTTTTTATTATAGACTAGCTTTTGCCCGCGGCTTCACCCGTGTGAAATTTCGTTTGTCACAGATCGTCATAAATTATAGCCTGTATGTTATTATGGGTTATAAACAATAATACTGTAAAGTTTCATCAAAATCCGTTCAGTAGTTTTTGCGTGAAAGAGTAACAAACATCCAGACATACAAACTTTCACATTTATAATATTAGTAGGACTAAGATAACTTAAATACTACGTACGCACAAGAAAAGACTATAGTATTAATGTAGGTAATAGATATTAATTAATGATTTGAAAAATTCTGATTTGTCGTAGCTAGTATCTTTATTTACTAATAGAACATTAAACACATAGATGATTCACTCCTTTGTTGTAACATAACATCTAATTAGGTACATTTGCAGGTCTCTAGGTGTAAATCGTAACTTCCTTGCTGATTAGCAGTCAAAGCAAGCATTGAAGGGACAGATAGATGCACTATTGTACAGTCGGCCTTCTACAGCTTGTTGACATCTATTTCTATGCTGTAACTGTGTACACTCAGGTTAGCACGATCAACACAATACAGGGTGGGGCGATTTAATTATGTAATTAGATAAAGACATAACGGGACTATTCCCACCTCTCTTCCTCACCACTGCAACTCCTGTGTAGCCAGGATCTACAGCTTGACCGCCAATAAAAACCCAACCAGTGAAGGTCAAGTTTGTCCCGGGGGAAAGTTAAACTGTCATTGGACCCGCAACGAAATTTATCAGAAGAACATAGGAGGAGTTCGAAGTTAGGTAAAGAAGACATATGTTGATAATCTTATTTTAGCCATTCTGTATAGATTTTAGCTTTCAGGCGATAAATTATACCTACCCATTTAATTTTCAGCATCAAAAGTACAAAAGTCGAACTGTTCTATTCTGGCATGCCATACCTATAAGTTTTAAACAATATTTATAAATGTTATTGGTAAGTGATCAAGTTCGAAATTTATTGTCCATTGAACATATCTCACGATGGCCATAAACCCATAGTTGAATCGCCATTGCAAATTTTATTGTGCATACAATTTACTATCTATTGACGAAAGTCAAGGCTATTGTTACGTAAATCTGTTATTTTTTGTAAAATATTTCTTCAGTGTTATATCACTTTATTGTTTCAGTAAGTAGGTAAATAAATATGATTTATAACGAAATACCGTCGGTGTGGAAATTTGTGGAGATTTGTGGGGACACAGAATAATAATAAGTACCTACTATGTACTAGGATTATTTTTCTATCTGAACATTTTAATTTCAATCAATTATTTATTTGCATAAGTAAATAAGTAATACTAAGCGTAGGTAGGTCCTACCTGTACTACCTAATTAGTAGTACCTACTACACAGTAAATTAATGATCGTGTGATAAATTAATTATTTAATAAAATTACAATTTGTTCCGAGTATTTAAGTATTAATAAGTATGACCTACCTAGTGCTTACAGACTTATACCTATTCTATGTACCTGCAACAACAAGCTTTATGTATACCTACTTAGGTATCTTATGTTTTTTTGTTAAATAAACACGTGTCATCATCATCAATTGTACAGATCGAATTAATTGCACCTATTAATCGTTATTATTTATTGTCATTTTATCTGTAAACGGAACTTTTATTCTGAAACGATAGATAATAACGTTAAGTTTGTTCGTAATCAAAACATAAAATTAATAATTTTATATGTTCTTTTTTAGTATATCGCTAACATTTGCGGGTTCCTTATAAACATTACAAACTTTTAACCCTTCAAATGTTTTGTTAAACCTATGTTATGTAATATTATTATGTTACCTTAGTAGCAAACATTTTTATAAAGGGTTAAAGAAGAACATTCTTCTGCTATCAGTAGGTAGGCCTACTATTTAGTAGTTATCTATGTAGGTAAGTACTAGGTAAACTACACCACACTCATAAATTAGTTTACCGGTTTATTTGTGAAAACCTGACCAAAAACAGACATTTATATTAGACAATATAGTTAGTACTTAGTTTGTAAGTAAGTACAGTCAGTGTCAATTAGTTTGTGATACCTAAAGTGGCCAAAAAGACAACCTTATTCCAAATTGTAACAATAAAAACGTGTTGCGAACTTATTTGCTACTTTGGGTGTCACGAACTATTTGACCCTGACTGTACCTACCTACCTACTCTTATATTTTTGTGATAATCTAAAATGTTCGATCAGTCAGTGAAATCGAACATTTGGTGCCAAAAATAAAATAAAATTAATAATTCCTACTGATCTCTTTTATTTATTACTTTTGCTACTTATGTGATATCTTGTCGTTAATTTGCGCAATAAAATTTGAAAAAACTTAATTAACTGCTGTGTTTACATCCGACTGACAATTAAGATCTTACCTGCGAGTCAACGAACTCTTGAGATAGATTATTGTATTAATGTGTTGTAAACAAGATCAAAGGTTGTGTATCTTGCCTCAATTGAAATAGATAGTAAATGGTACGTATCCCTGAATTAAGGTACCCTTTTTACTTGATAGGTACTTAGTTACCTATTCATAAAGAAATTTACGGCCGTGCTTCGTATTTTGACCAAGGTGTAAGTAGAGTTTGTTCAGTATGGCTTGTAGAGTTAGGGCGTGTAGAGTTAGAAACTTGAGTAAGATCTATTATGGTTTCATTTTCTTGGCATTACCTATTTCGGTGAAGATGGATAGGTACCTAACCTAGATCTTAAACCTATTATCACATCTTAACTTTAATTTGAAATTAAGCTTAGTACTTACTGTCATTAGGTATATTAAAGAAACTTAGATATAAATCTATTTCTAGAAGATAGATAATTTATAACATGAATCTAACTAGCTGAACATGGGGAACACTGGCTCATTGGGTTAAAATGAGCCAGTTCAGTCAGCGTTTCAGTAACTTTTTATCATTTATAACGTATTTTTAAAACAACATTTATTTTCACCGACTAACCTTACGACCTGAACCCTAACCCAGCTATTTTGCATGAAATTAGGGGCCAATTTGTACCGCATCGTGTAAGGCGTGTCGCGAGCGGTGCCCCTAAGTAGGTATTTGCAATTTGTTTTGA